GACAGAAAACACCTTCTGAGCAGCGGGTGCAGAGAGTGCAGCACCCTCAAACCCCCAAAGCAGCCAGGTCAGCCCCCCAGACACCCAGCATCTCCCCGCAGCACCTGCAGCCACGTCTGCAGCCCAGCCCTGCTGTCAGGAGTCCTCTCGGGCTGGGCGGGTCAGCGCCCGCATGTGGGGGTGCTGATGTCACTGTTTCCATAGTAACCCGCCAAGGGTGTCCCTGCCCAGATATGGGGGTGAGATGTCACAACGGCCAAGGTGACACCACCACAGCTGTCCCTGCCCACATATAGGGGTGCTGATGTCACAATGGCCGCTGTAACCCACGGCAACAAGCCTATAAAAAGGGTCGCTGGGCTCCAGCCGTGCGTCAGTGCGACCTGGGAGGTGAGGAGAGGGCAGGGGAGGGATGCGGCTGGTCGGGGGCTGCCGAGGAAGGAGAGGGGGGGGTCCCACACCTCGGGGTGCTGGGGCTGTGCTGAGAGCTGACCCGCACCCCGCTTCTCCCTCAGAGTCAGCCAAGGAGCATCTGGGAGAGACACCCCGGTGCTGCTGAAACAGGGACGCTCCCAACACGCGCTGAGGACGTGCGCCATGTCTGAGAGGCGAGAGGAGGAGTCCCCCGACTCGACGGAGCAGGGTGAGAGCAAAGTTTCCCTCCCACAGCACAGCAGAGGGGCTGTCGTGGCGGTCAGTGTGGGGCTGAGCGCGGAGACAAGGGGAGGCAGTGCCTGCGATGCCCCTTCCTCGCCATGGCCCCCAGCCCTGCCCCTCAGCCCCTCAGGGACGGAGCAGGGCCCTGGGGACAATCCCTCAGGGACTCTTCCCCCAGCCCCACAGAGGTGCTCATTCCCGATGGCATTTGTTCTCTCCCCTCCAGCGTGTGTGCTGTGTGGCCAGAGTGCAGTGGACCAATTTCTCTGCGGGCAGGAAGTAAATATGGAATTCTTCCGTGCCCATTTCTTTTGCACAGTGAGTCCCCCTGGGCACCCTCCTGCTGGCTGACATGCTGTACCAGCCATGCTCTCCTCATCACTCATCCTCTCATGTTTTCTCTTCTGCAGCTATTTGCCAGCAAGTTTTTTTACTGTCAGGATGATCAATCAGGGGCGCTTAGAGTGGTCACTGAGGACATTCGCCACATGATCGACCGGGCAGTGCAGGAGGTGAGGACCTGGCCCTATCAGGGATATTTGTGTCAGAGAGGTTTGGGGGAGCTTATCCCAGAGCCCAGGAAAGAAATCCCAGCCCCTCCAAGCAGCTCCGGGACAAAAGCCTTGCTCCCAGCACCTCCACAGAGCTCCAGCCCAGGAGCCTCGTGCGCCGGGCGGATCTGTGGGCTGTGGCCCAGCAGCGGCCACATCCTGCGCCCTGCCCGGAGGCGTGGGGCTGGCAGGAGAGGCCCTGAGGCCGCCGCTGACGGGGGCTGCTCTGCTCTTTGCAGCGATGCTTCATCTGCGGGGAGAGCGGGGCCGCCATCACCTGCTGCCAGGAGGGCTGCGACCGCAGCTTCCACCTTCCCTGTGCCATCGAGGGTGAATGCATCACCCAGTACTTTCTTCCATACAGGTACTACTTCTCCCCAATTTGCCCCCACAAGGGAACCACCCAGCACTTCACCTCACCGGTCCCTTCCCTCTTCCCCCCAGGTCCTTCTGCAAGGAACACCGCCCAGAGCAGGAGGTGGAGGCAGCTCCAGAGGAGGACACCCAGTGCCTCATCTGCCTGGAGCCTGTGGAGGACAGAAAGTCCTTCCACACCTTGGTGTGCCCGGCCTGTAAACACGCCTGGTACCACCGGGTCTGCATCCAGGTAGGAGCCGTCCCCTCGCCCCCGCGACACGGCAGGAGCTGGGCAGCACAAGGGCCTCACTCCTGCTCCTTTTGTCTCCACTGCAGGGCCAGGGTCGGTACAACTCTATTAGTACCTTCAGCTGCCCTCACTGCAGAGACAGAAATGACTTTGTCGAGGACATGCTCACCATGGGCATACGAGTCCCCATGAGGTTGGTGTCCTGCCGGCTCACAGCACAGGAGGCTGCAAGCCCTGTGCCATGCCTGGGGCTGCCCCTGCAGTCCTGCCCCTCCGCTGTCCAGTCTGCCTGGGCTTCAGCTTCACGGAGGAGCTGGAAACCGGGCAGGGGGGAGGAGCAGGGCTGCCCTGCATCGGCCCTATGCCGGGGCAACAGTGGCTCAGCCATTTCCCTTTCTCCATCAGATTGCCATCACAGGACAACAGGCCTCCAGTCGAAGCAGTAGTCCAGAGGCACAGCCGCTGCGATGCCCGTGAGTGCCTTTGTCCCACAGGCAGGGAGCACGCAGAGGAGCAGGGGTAAGTTTGCAAAGCAGCACCCTGGGCTCTGCACAGGATCTGTCTCGCCAAGAGCTCAGAGCAGGACTGAGAACAGGAGCTGTGCTGCTCAATCCCGTGCTGCAGTCACTTTGTTCTCATAGCCATGAACCCTTTTGCTTCCCCAGGCCCTGGGAAATGCTCCTGTGCGGCTCCTGCGCTGCCGTGGGCACCCACCGGTGCTGCTCCAGCGTCAGCACCACCAGGACCAGCTGGGTGTGTGAGATCTGTGCTGGCCAGGGCACCGGTAAGAGGCAAAGCACCTTCATGCCCCTGGGCTGGGGCCAGCGCCCAGGCAAGGCCTGGCAGCGGGTGCCCAGGCTGGGCTTGGCAGAGCCTCTCTGCCCCAGGAGGGCTGGGGGCACTGCTCTGGCCTCTGCACTGTGGCCTCTGTGCCCCTGACCGTCCTGCTTCCCCTTACAGACTCGAGTGACAGCGCAGAGATCGCTGGCTCTGGCGATGGCAGCAGCTCGGGATCGGGGTCATCCCACCGCTCGCCAGCACCAGAGAGCAGCAGCCCCAGCTCTGGTAGCCAGGTGTCATCGGGGTCATCGGACTCCCAAGTGGTGCAGGGCAGCAGCAGCAGCAGCTCCAGCTCACCTGGGCCCGAGCACAGGCAACGCCGCTCCCGGGTGCAACGTCAGGCCCAGACGCCCTACAGCCGGCCCAGAACACGCCGGGAGAGGGGCCACGCGCCAGCACCAAGGGCTGAGGGCAGCACCCCCGGCCAGGCAGCGCTGGGGACGTCCCAGGGCTCCCCAGTGCCGGAGAGCAGCAGCCCCAGCACCGCCAGCCAGCTGCCAGCGGAGTCCTCCTGCCCATCTCCAGCGCTCGAGAGTGGCAGCAGCTCCAGCCCTCTTGGGCCCGTGCGGAGGAGGCACCGCTCCCGCATGGAACGTCGGGCCCAAAACCCTTACAGCCGGCCCGGACGCAGACGTGGGACCAGCCGTGCGCCGTCCCCACGTGATGGGTCTGATGCCCCTCCACCAGCGCAATAAAGTTGACTGTTGGTCTCTGCCCTGGGAGATTCCACGCTCATTTGTTGGCTTCCTCCTCCTCTGCCTTTCTCCAGGGGCAGCGTTAGGGGCTGGGCCCAGAGGGTTTCTTCCCCCGGGGCATGGCAGCCCCTTGCCCAGCCCTCCCTCCTTGCGGGCTGGCCTTGGCCGGCTGCCCAGCGCCATGGCCGTGTGCTTCGGGCCTCGCCGGCCCCGCAGCTGGCTCAGTCTCCCCAGCGAAGGGTCACACCAGGGGCAAAGCTACTTTTCTTTACAAGTTCTGCTCAGTGTCACGCTGGAATTGTGACATGGACACTGCTGTACAGAAGGGCAATCCCGTTGCCCAGTTCCGGGTCCTGCTGCCCACCCTGACTGCCGCTGTACCAGACCCATCCAACACACCATCAGCTCAGGCCACACAGAAGCTCCGAGGAAGGAATGTTGTCCCCGGCCTTCACCAGCCCTTGGCACCTGTTCAGACCAAGAGCAAACCTGGGCCTCGGCGCTTGCTCAGCCCCTTGTCGTGCTTTGAACTTGCCCGGCAGCCAAACCCCACGCAGCCAATCGCTCACCCTCCCCCTGCCTGGGAAATGGGGGACCAAACTGCAGGGACAAATTGCTCACCAACCTGCCCGCTGATACCCAGCCCCTGCCCAGCCAGCGATCCCCAAAAACCGAGACCCCACAATCGCAGTCCCAGATGCAAGAGAGAACCTCCTGCTTCCCAGCCGCCCCTCCTTGACACCCTGAGCATGACGTTACAGGAGATGGGATATGCCACGGGCTAATTTGGTGCTCTGCTGCGCCCCCTCCGAGACCTTGATCTCTGACATCAACCCCTGTAGGATCAGCATTCTTCTCATAGCAAATCCTGTACGCAGTCCAAAACACAGCGTTATTCTGGATACTAAGGAGAAAAATTAACTTTATCCCAGCTGAAACCAGGACAGGCTCCACCCCTTAGGTTATACCATTTATACACCATTTACGCTATGCTCAGGTTCCCAGTACATGCTAAGGAATCCCCATCCGATTCCCTGCTCTCAAATGTCTCCACAGATCTCATTCCCTTCATCTATGGGCCATCCCTCCAAAATGTGCAGGGAGATCATTTAGTCCATAACTCTGGCTTCCATCTCTCATGACAGTCTTTTAAGGCAGGAGGGACGAGGCGGAGTTGGCAATGTCGGTGGAGCCTTGACCTTGGGCTCAGCGGGACGATGGCGTGAATTCTCTGCCACAAGTGGAGCTGCTGCCTCTGGCGCGGTCCCTGCTCACACTCTGCAGGCCCAAGGTATCCATCTGCAGGGCACTGCTGGGCACCAGGTGCTGCAATCAGCCCCGACCCTACCAAAGTTCATGTTTTGTATTAATGTGGGGCCGTTAGTGTAAGATCTGTCAACCAGAGAGAGATCTGATGCAATAACTCGCCTGTCATAGAATCAGAGAATCATTCAGGTTGGAAAAATACCCTGGGGATCAGCACGTCCAACCATCAGCCCGACTGTACAAAGTTCTCCCCTACACCGTATCCCCCAACATCTCATCTAAACGACCCTTAAACACATCCAGGGATGGCGACTCCACCACCTCCCTGGGCAGCTTGTTCCACTGTCTAACCACTCTTTCTATGAAATTTCTTTCCTCACGTCCACTCTGAACCTCCCCTGTTACAGCTTAAAGCTGTTCCCTCTTGTTCTGTCACTAATTCCCTGTGAGAAGAGACCAGCACCAACCTCCCTACAATGTGCTTTCAGGGAGCTGTAGAGAGTGATGAGTTGTCCCCTCAGCCTTCTCCTCCTCACACTCAACACTCCCAGCTCCTTCAATTGCTCCTCACAGGATTTATTCTCCAGGCCCTTCCCCAACCTCGTTGCCCTCCTCTGGCCTCTCTCCAGCCCTTTGAGATCTCTCTCGTATTGAGGTGCCCAAACCTGGACCCAACACTCCAGGTGTGGCCTCACCAGTGCAGAACACAGGGGGACTGTCACCTCCCTCCTTCTGCTGGTCACATTATTTCTAATACAAGCCAGGATGCCGTTGGCTTCCTTGGCCACCTGGGCACACTGCCGGCTCATGTTCAGCTGATTATCAATGAGAACCCCCAGATCCGTCTCTCCCAGACAGCTCCAGCCACTCCTCCCCAAGCCTGTAGCCATGCAGGGGGTGGCTGTGGCCCAAGGGCAGGACCTGCCACTTGGCCTCGTTGAAGCTCATCCCGTTGACATTGGCCACTGACCCAATCTAGCCAAGTCTCTCGGCAGAGCCTCCCTGTCCTCATGCAGATCGACACTCCTGCTGCACTTGGTGTCACCTGCAAACTCACTGATGATCCACACTCTGTGTCCTTATCAAAGTCATCAGTAAAGTTGTTCATCTGAATTTGTCCCAATTCCGAGCCCTGAGGTCACCACTTGTGACCGGCCGCCAGCTGGATTTAGCTCCACTGACCTCCCCTCTCTGGGACCGTCCATCCCGCCCGTGCATGACCCAGCAGACCGTTCCCTCCTCCAGGCCATGGGCAGCCAGTTTTTCTATGAGAATTCTGTGGGGAACTCTGTCAAATGCTTTTCGAAAATCCAGGTAGACAATATCAACGGCTTTTCTCTCGACCAATAGTCAGGTCATCTTGACGTAGAAGGAGATCAGGTTTGCCAGGCAGGACCTGCCTTTCATAACCCCATGCTGACTGGGCCTGATCCCCTAGCTGTCCATTATACGACTTGTGATGGCACCCGAGATGACCTGCTCCATGACCTTCCCTGGCACCGAGGGCACACGGACAGGTCTATAGTTTCCTGGATCCTCCTTCCTGCCTCTCTTGTAGATGGGTGTCACATTTGCCACCCTCCAGTCCAGTGGGACCTCCGCAGTTAGCCGTGACCTCAGGTAAATCATGGACAGCGGCTTGGTGAGCACATCTGCCAACTCCCTCAGCACCCTTGGGTGTAACGCATCCGCTCCCACAGACGTGTGTGCACCCAGGGGGTGCAGCAGGTCTCTGACCACCTCCTCTTCAGCTGTGCTGACCCAGCCTGCTTCCCCTCCCCAGCTCCCAGCTCCTGAGGCTGGGTGTCCAGGGAACAGCCAGTTCCACTGCTAAAGACTGAGGCAAATCAGGCCCCGAGCACCTCAGCCTTTTCCTCATCCTCACTTACTGTTTCCCTCTGCATCCAGTAAAGGAGGGAGATTTTCCCTAATCCTCCTTTTCCTGTTAATGAATTTATAGAAACATTTTTTATTATCTTTAACCGCTAGAGCCAGGTTGAGCTCTGGCTGCGCTAAATGCCACAAGTGGTCCTTCCCTCCAACTTCTACGGGAGAAGAGAAAAAAACCCTGATGTGCTTTACCTGGTCCAACACAGCTTGGTTGGCATTTGCAGGTTCTGGCATCACTTGGCAGCTCCATTTGCAGTGGGACGGCTCTCCTTGGCTTGTGTCTCCACAGCAAATCAGCCATCCCAAGGCCCAGCAGGTCCAGTACCTCTCCTGCAGGGCACTGGCAAACACCAACATCTGGTTCTGTGACCGGAAGCAAAGGAGAGGAAGATCAGAAAAAGCAACAGCTCCAGGTGGGACACAGGGAAGGGACAAACCCAGGCCGTGACATGCATTTCAGCCTCAGCCCACAGGAGCCCCAGGCACAGTCACGGCAGCGGCAAAGCACCACAGCGTGTTCAGAAGCAGTGCTGGGGAAGGGGCAGCTTGCTTGCTTTATGCCTTGTGAAGCACTGAAGGGACAAGCTGGTCTCCTCGCCACTGCCAGGCCAGCGGGTGCAGCTCCCTGCAGCACACGGCTGTGCCAAGAGGTGCTGGGGCAGCCTGAAGGCACCAGCTCCGCTGGGCGAGGAAGTTACAAGCCTGCGGCAACACTGCCCACGGGCAGTGAGCATGGCCAGCACAGCCCAAAGCCCCACAGCTGCAGTGATCTTTGAAAGGGCACTTCATTCAGCCCTGCTGCTACTGCAAGGTGAACAGGTACCACGAGCCTTTACGTAGGGGTGACTGCAGCAAATGGGTGCAGACTCCTGTCTGCCCAAGCAGATGAGGTACTCTAAAGTGCTAACGTCTGCCCCGGGGCCTTTTCCGTAAGAAGCCCTTGGAGACACAGGCTGCCACACTTGTGCCAGCCAGAAGAGGAGAGGTCAGCATGTCAGAGATTCTAGCTGAACTGCCT